TGCCCTTCCCACCAGGGAGGCCCGGTGGATTTTTGGGAACAATTTGCCATTTCTGTGGTCCCCTATGATGCCTGCAGCATGGAGGGAAAGTCAGGAGACCAGTGCTCCGGGTGAAGATGTGCAGGTTGATGCAGAGGATGAGGAGCCGCCGCATGTTTCTGGAGGACTTTCTGAAACCCAAAAGGAGAGATGCACATTGCAGCCTTGGAGAAAGGTCCGCTTTGTTTTTTAATAATAAGGGGTGACATGCAAGCTTTATTAACAAGGCACGTAGAGGAAAAAAAAAGGCTCAAGGGATAACCCTGAAAAAGTGGCGCTAAATGTGTCATTTTTATGAAGCTGATTTTGTGAAGTGTCCCTACATGCTTTGGCAGGAGGTTGCAGCAGGTTTACAATAATTTGTAGAAAGATAGAAATGTTTTCACCCTGAAGTGAGAAGAAGGGCAAAAAAACCTTTGTTGAGATGCTTTAGAGTCGTATTCTGAGGCAGAGACTGGCAGAGGGATGGATACCTGTCACTTCTGGTCAGGAGAGATGGGTCCAGCTTTCAGCAACTGTGGACTTTGCTGGGGGCTGATGTGTGGACTGAGAAACCAAACCCTCCATCAAGAGCCTGGATCCAGATGCAGTGGCGAAAGATGGATTTTCACCTCCATGGATATCAGTTTGGAAAAAAACCCACATTTGAAATAGCTGAAAAGAGGGAAGAGTCGTAAAGAACCAGATCCTGGGCAGTCAGCCTGAGGCGAGCAGGCTACACGGGCATGGCTGTGCTGATCTGAGCCTGCTGGCACAGCCCAGGACACCTCTCTCTCACCCTGGGGACAAACCCCAGCCAGCATCCTCTGTTTCTCCAGCAGTCCACAGCAGGGGTGGTGTCCAGAGTTGTTGCAACCTGCTGATCTTTCCACTGGCACTTGCATTAATTCCCCTTAAACCACCTTTGGATCCTCTGGGGTTTATTTCTTTTTCTAAGGCAGAGAGTGAGCAGTCGTGTTGCTAACAGACCTTTTGCTGTCAGGGAAGTCACCCCCATCGATATCCAGGTCAAGAAGAGTTGTACTGATGTTTGTATGTCTTTTGTTTTTTTTAAATTTAATGGAATTGGCAGTCCTCAACTGAAAGCAACCGCTGAGGGGGAAAAAAAGTTTAATATTTCCCTCCTGATTGCTGGATTCTGTGTCTGTTGTTATATTTATATTTGTGTTGCTAAGGCAGCGTTTAAAAACATTTTTCAAATTAGGCACTGGTAAGCTGTATGCCGAGCCAGGGCTCTCTCACTGATGGCATTGACACCAATATGCCTGCATCTGGAGAGCAAATCCTGAGCCCAGAGGACAGCAGGATTTCTCTCCTCCAAGAGAAATGCAGGCAGAGACCACAGACTTTATGCTAGGTGTTTATCCAGTGCTTTCCAATGTCTGGAATGTATTGTTTATTCATAGCACAGAGGCTGAGGGGCTGATCATGACAAGTGTGAGTGTCCTTTATTTGTGTTACAACAAGCAGGAGATAAGAGTTGGCAGCGTGTTTGGGAGGTCCTTGCCATACCCAGCTCTGAACATGGAAAGGAGAGGCTGGACTTGGAGCTGGGCTCCCCTTTGATTTCTACAGGAGTGATGCTGATTAGTGAGACAGTGACAGTTTGCTTTTGCCAAAATAATGAAGAAGATGAGGGCCAGCCTCTTGATGATGCACTTGATGAAGAGCACACTTTTCATCAGCACCAGCCAGCCTTACCTTTTCCCTCTTTTTTGTGCTTTCAGTTTGTTCTTTGGGTCTCATTAAGAGAGGGAGCGGAGCCTTTCCCAATTAAAATGTTGAAATGTTGAAGATGCTCTCACTCCCCATCATTTTGCCTCTGTTTATAAGTGATTGCACCTCGCAGGATGAACTAGAATTAAATCAAGTGAACTTCGATCGAATAATGCAAGCTATAAAGCAGCCGTTCTCCATGAACAATCTAATTTCTTTTTTATTTTTCTGTTTTGATCCCCTAGTCTGCATGGAGATAACCTTGATGGATAATCCCATGGCTAAGGAAAGGTCTTGTAAACTGCTGGGCTGCCCTGTGTACTGGCAGAAGCGTGCTGGTGTGGGCAGGACGGGCAGCCCACCCTCGTGCCAGTGTGGGCAGCACGGGCAGCTCTCACCAAGGGTGCAGACCCTAGCCCAGGGGGAAGCCTGGATTTCCCATCCTTGTGGCCACGTGGCTCCTTGTTTTGTCTGCAATCTGGAAGCAATTAGCATTACTGGTGCTGTGTCCAGTGGCGGGGGGCATTGGAAGCCTGGGAACGGATGTTGTGACCGACCCCGCGGGAACTCGCTCGCTCTCTCCTGTGGATGTCCGGGGTTGCATCAGTGACGTGGCGCAGAGCATCCCGAGCAGGGGGGGCACGTGGGGCAGGGAGCTCACAGGAAGGACGTTACTCCAGGCCGTCAAACATAAATCATGGGGAATTTACTCGTCGGTGAATGGTTTCAGTTGAGCCAGGATATGGTCTTCTTTTTTGGTCTGAAATCAATAGCAAAGCTCCCAGTGGTGTTGGTCAGAGGGGGATTTAGCACCAGGTCTGTATCTGGGCTGTGGCAGATGTGATGGCATCATGTGTGGCATTTCCTCAGCCTGCGGAGGGGTTTTGGTGGCAATGGTCAAGTGTTCCCTGCAGATGACCTTGGGTATTCCTTGGCCCTGAAGCCTGGGGAGTGCGGTGTCAGTGCTCTGAACATTTTAAAGCTCTGTGATGTACTTGTATATATTGAAATTTGCTGTCTGAGTCCTCTTGCCCACCTGTCCCTCTCCTGGTTTTCCCAGGGCTGAACTGTGCATATACAGGGATGAAGGTGATGGAGGTAATGGAGGGTACAAGGGGTCTCACTGCTGCCAGGCATGGCAGTGGGGCTGGGGATGCAGGGATGGAACCAGCTGAGGCTCTGGGGTGCTGGGTGATAGAGGGTACTCCCCACTGAGCATGGATTGTGTGGAAACTGGCTCCCATCCCTCCTGCCCTACTTTGTTCAGCTGCCCTCATCCCTTTTGTGGGGCTGAGATCTACATTGCGGCTGCTGGGGGTGGATGCTGTGGGGTTGCATCCCTCCCTCTGGGACAGATGCGTCAGAGTTGATGGATAAACACAGGATCAGGTATTTTCTGCGGCATTTAAAGTCTTGGGCATCATATACTTTAAAAATACATGTGTCTGTTTGCTCCTGAGCTTTAACCATCAAAGTCGTCCAGCAGGACTGAGGATGCAGGAACTGCAGGGACCAGTAGTTTGTGCAGTAAATCTCCTGCGTGACTCTCCAGCAGTAATTACTGTGTGAAAGTAATAACTGAGCTGTGCTGAGTGCTAGGCCAACTCCCCCGGCTCGCAGCTCCTCGCATGTTTCTCTCTGGGAGGTTCCTGTTTGGTAAATTAGATATTGTGCTGTACTTCAGAAAAGGTTACACTTAACCAACGCTGCCTTTGCTTTATTATCTTGGCAGAGTGGTGTAACCTCTGCTGGGGTACGATTGGATTTCACGTTCGGCTCTGCTGCAGCAGCCCCTCTCCCTGCCTCCTGCCATTGTGATTACGTTAGCAGCAGACTCTGCTTTCCTTTATTTATTGAGACATTAAAGATGCATGCATTTATTTTTACCATGTTCATAATTGCCATAAGAACAGGCCATAGTATCACAGAGTGGCTCTTTGGGAAGGCGAATAACCGTGGGAATGGGATGAGGAGGAGCCACAGCAGAGAGGAGGCAGGACATGGCTCTGGGGCAGGTGGATGTCCCTATTTCTGTCCTGAGAGGATGCTGCTGTTGTCCTAGAGGAAGGAGGGCAGAGCAAAGTCTACCTGTTCTGCTGTCCAGGAGGCAAGGAGCATCCCCTGGGCTGGGGGTGATGCTGGTGGGAGCCTAGGTGGGATCTCTGCAGATCTGGGGGTCTTTGGGTGGATGGACAGGTGGACTGTGGTGCCTGACTTGTACAAAGATACCTGCATCCTCGTGGGTCCCCGAAGCTCAGGAAGGATCCTGGCCCAACTGTGCAGATCCCACCATGTCCCAGCACATGGCATCCACTGTGACTCACCATGCATCTCCTACCACATCCTACCATGCATCTCCCCCCACATATCCTACCATGCAGCTACCACTGCATCCTACCCCAGAGCTCCCATCATATCCCACTGTGAAGCTCCCACACATCCCACCATGCAACAGCCACTGTATCCCACTGCACAGCTCCCACCAGGTACCACTGTGCATCTCCCACCATGTCCCACCATGCAGCACCCATCACATGCCCCCACATGGCTCCCACCATGGCCTTCTGGTTGCTTTTTTTGGTTGTTTACCTGCTGCCAGCACCAGAACCCTGGGTCTGTGTAATCTGAGGTTATAAAATGCCGTTTTGAGCGCAGAGCGAGTTAGTGGGTTTTGCTTGGAAGTTACAAGTCCTTTGACTTTTCTGCCCTACTTTCACTCCCCTCCAACTTTTAAGCATGTCACCCATTGTTTGCTTTTTTATTAATAACAGAGCCCACTGTCTCTGCAAATGAAATGATGTAAAACAAAGAAAAGTGCCCGCATTAAATTCTCTGGCAGGGGATTACCTTGCTGGCATTTACATATCTATGCAATAAATATTTTAACATGTTAATTATACACTAATAAGAAAAATACCTTTTGAACTTTCAGTCAAATTGACACACACAGAACTGAGTCCATCAGGGAATTAAAAGCAATTAGTTTTCTAACAGAGCATAGTCACATTGTTTCTTCTCTGCAAATTGTTCGGTGGTCACAGCCTTTCTTTTTGGTGAAAATAGGTGGAAAGACTAGCGAGAACTGGAGTTTTCCATGCCTGGCTCTGTCCTGCTCACAGGGGCCTGTCCCATGGTGTGATGCTCCTTCCCTCTGGCAGGGTTTCATCCTGGCCCTGCAAACCTGACTGTTCCCAGTCATGGAAATCAGACTTGTAACCATCTCCGTTTTCTTTTCCTCCTTCCAGACTGAAAACTACTCCTTTGATTCCAACTACGTGAACAGCAGAGCTCATTTAATAAAAAGGTACGTAGGCTCTCTTGGAGGCGCTTGGGTTTGCCCAGCCAAGTCTTGAGTGTTTAATGTCCTTCCATACTGCGTTATATACTACTTGCTTATTTTAATATGCAGAACTTTTCAAGAGTAATCATTTGATTTTAAAAACAGTACTTACGTCCCATTAAGCCCCCTTGCTCTTGGTTTGCAATAAAGGAAAACCTTTTTTCCTTCTCTTTGGTTCCTTCACACCAGGAAGGTGCAGTGAGTGAGGTGGAGTGCTGTTACCCTGACAACTTTCAAATTCTGAGAGTTTATTCCATTTGATTGCACAGGAATAAAGGGATAGATTTGGGTGGTGGGATCTCCCTGCCATGTGAGGCGGGGAAAATTTAAAAAAAGAAAAGTTGTTTGGAGGAAGGTAGTTGGGTTGTGTGCACGCTCACTGTTTTAGTTTGAATACCGAGGCAAACAGCACTTTGCTAGGCTGGTTTCTTCCATGGGTAAAAAAGGAAACAATCAGTTCAATTGCAACTTTGCAATTGCCCTTGGAGGAATTCAGCCCTTTGGATGAAACACTGGTCTTCTCAGGGCTTAGCAGTGGTGAGGAAATGTCTCTGGGAGGTTAACGCCGGGGTTATCTGGATGAAACCCACTGGACTGTGTTAAACTAGAGGTGAGCATCCCCCCGCGGGGCAGGGGGTGAGGTTTGCCGCTGCCTCCCGGCGACTGCCGAGGCAGGGAAAGGCACTGACACAGCACGATCAATACTCATCAGGAGCCGCCGCCGCGCAGGGCGGGAGGGCCGGCTCCCTGCGCAGGATGCGGGCGCAGGAGGTGGCCGGCAGCTCTTTGCCCACCTCCCCTCTTCTCCCCAGGGACCGGCCGAGGTGTGCGGCGAGCAAGCCATGCCCGTGCCCGTGCCCGTACTCGGTGGCTCTGCAGAAGCCATCGCTGAAGCAAGGGTTTCACAGAGAGCAGGAGCCGGCTCCGAAGTGTTAAGATCTGATCTGAACAGTAAAAATATCCAATTATCTGCCTGGCTGAGATCCCATTTGTTTACATCTTAAAAATCTGAGGAGTAAGGGAGCTGCGAGCGCATTGTTTAAGCAGCGCGGGTTCAGCCGGAGAAGGGCAGGTGTATTTGCCTGTGTGGCTCGTGATGTTTAACGATGCTAATGCGACTGTGAGAGTTGGCTTGCCTACACCACGCTGCTCCTCGCCAGAGAGTCTTCAAGCATGCTGAAAAAAACCCAAATCTATTAATCTTTCCTCGTTCACACCTAAGATAAAGGCAAACAGCGCTCCCGCCTGCCGCAGCGGGGCTTGCTCCGAAGCTGTATTGTTTGGGAAATGCTGCTGCCGCCGGTTCCCCCAGACCTGCCCATCCTTTAGAGAAGTGTCAGCCGCGGAAACATGTCGTGTGGCTGCTGCATTACGGTCTGGTTCACTGCGGGGAAGATAAATGCGTTGTAACACGGGTTGCCTGTGCATTATGAACAGCAGCTCCGTGTAGGACAGCGGTTCCCCTCGCTTTCTACCTTTGTCTTGTATCTTAAGTACAACGAGTGCCAGGAATGCTGTGCAGACATCTGAGAACAAAAAATATTTTCTGTAACATACTGCGGCATCATTTTCATCCTTTGCCCTTATGAAGATGTTTTAGCTCTTCTATCTTTGGTGAGTGAATCTCCTCAAATCCAGCACTTAATTAATCTATTTGTACTTTTCCTGTGTTGTCTGCCTGCTTCCCTCGCTCATCTACACGCACACAAATGAATTGTAGATTTGTAGTGCTTTCTTAACTTAAAAATCTTTGATGTAGCCTGGAATCAAAGTCAGTGGCTTCAACAGGGACATCTTTATTTAAAGGTAATATTTGAAGGTTTACCAATTTATGTGTATTTCAGAGCTCCCCCCTCACGCGCTTTTGCAGAGCATCAGATGGTAGGTGGTCTGCTTGGTTTCCGTGGAGACACAAAAGGGCTTTTCAAAGTAATGAAAATCTCCAGCTCTTTGGGGCTTTGAAGCACAGGCCGTGTCTTCCACTGATGTTTCACACCAAACCAGCCAGCGGGAAAGTTCGGAGTGGTGGGTGCAGGTGGATCCTCCCAAACAAGTGCAGATTTCCCATGCCAAGGCTGACTGTGGAAGGAGTGCAGAGTGGCTGTGCCACCCAGGCCAGGTGCATCTCAAGATGTCCCTGATGCTTGCTGCAGCCTGGTGTCCTGGGGCATTGCCCCTCTCAGGGCGCTGGGGAGCAGCAGAGGGGACCCGAATGCTTCCAGAAATGCAATTCTTCACGGAGTCTGGAATGGTTTGGGTTGGAAGGGACCTCAAAAATCATCTAGTTCCACTCCCCTGCCATGGGCAGGGACACCTTCCACTAGACCAGGTTGCTCAAAGCCCTGTGCAACCTGTCCTTAAGCACTTTCAGGGATGGAGTATCCACAGCTTCTCTGGGCAACCTGTGCCAGTGCCTCACCACCCACACAGAGAAGAATTTCTTCCTAATATCCAAATCTCTAAATCTTTCTTCTTTCAGTTTAAAACCATTCATCCTTGACCTATTACTATCTGCCTGTGTACAAAGTCACCTTCCCTCTTTTTTATAAGCCCCCTTTAAGTACTGGAAGGGGCTCAAAGATCTTCCCAAGGCCTTCTCCAGGATGACCAATCCCAGCTCTCTCAGCCTGTCTTCATAGGAGCCATCCCTCTAGCCTGGGAGCTGGGTTCTATGGCGTGATGGAGCTGCTTAGCCCTTGGGGGAAATCTGGGAGCAGCTCAGCCCTTGGATCTCCCCAGCAAGTGGCTGTGCTTGCAGGGGCTGTCAAGGATGTTTGACTGTGTATCAGATTTAAAGCTGTGTGAACTTGGACCCAGAATCACTGGTCTATTTTTAAAAACAAGAATGGCATCATCATTATGAAAAGAAATTCCCATTTCTAGGAAGACTTTTGTTTTCAAGTGTTAAGTGATTAGGATTTGACCTACAATCTGAAAAAATGGAGTTTAGATCCTATGTCGTTTCAATGTGAAGTAGTACTATATGGGGGAGTCAAGTTATAGAAACAGCTCATTTTAATGTATATTTTTAAAATTTTATTTCAAATCCTGTTTCACTCTCAGCTTCCATAAGACCCACAGCAGCCTGACTGTACCCACAGGCTCACACCATACCCACGGACAGAAGGGATGGTGCAGGCTGGATGCTGTGTTTTGGGGTGCAGAGATGCCAAGCAGGGGGTGCTCCACTCACACCCCCTGCCCCAGCTCTCCATGCCTGGGGAGCAATCCCAGGGACCTTCCCTTCCCAGCTTGCTGAGGTGTCAGGGCCACCTTGTCCCACCCGGTAAGTGACAGCTGTGTTTCCCCAGCAGCTCCACGTTCAAGGACTTGGAGGGGAACAGTCTGAAGGACAGTGGCCACGAGGAGAGCGACCAGACAGACAGCGAGCATGATGTGCAGCGGGGCCTCTACTGCGACACGGCTGTCAACGACGTGCTGAACACCAGTGTCCCTTCCATGGGGTCCCAAGGCCCTGAGCAAGGTGAGCCACTGCCCTGTGCCCTGGGGGGGCTGCTCATCACCCCCCACATGACCCATCCGGTGGCTCTGCCTCGGTGGGTGTGCAATGAGGATGCTTAGTGCTTGCTGGGGATAATGCTGTGCATCATCAGAGTGCTGGGTAGATATAAATTAATCTTCATGCCACGCCTGTCAGGTAAGCAGGCAGTTAGGATTATCCTCTATTTCACAGGCAGAAAACTCGAGGCCCTGAGCATCTGCCCGACAGTGAGTGAGCAAGTGGCAGAGTTGGGATTAAGGCAGGAATTATGGGTGCTGTGCCCAGGGTTGGTCTCTGCCCACACTCCCCTCTGGAGCACTGAAGGTGTGCCCTTGTCCACATGCTCCTCTCGCCAGCTCTGGAGCTTGTACGCAGGCGCCGTGTGGGCAGCTTTTCCAAAAGGTCAGCACAACATGTAGGCAATTAGTCAGACATCCCACGAGGGATTAGCTCAGGCCAGTGGGTGAGGGTTTGCATCTTTTCCCTTGCATAGGCGGCAGGTTTCAGCTCTTGTCATCCCCATGTGCAGGGGTGAAGCCCTGCTCCGAAATCAGACTGGTATTAGCTAGAGGAAAGAAGTCAGAGGAGTTCAGCTGAGCCCAAGTGTCGTTTGTACTTGGGCATGAATGTCGCTTTTAATGTCTGAGGGATGCAAACATCCTATGCAAACATCCTGTCTTTTTCAATTAAGAAGCCTGAATGCGGTTTGGTGCTCCAGCGCAGGGGAGCCTCGGGGCACTTGGCTATATCTTGAGATAAGCTGTAGCTGAGGCTCAACTGGAAGCCCCACTGCTAAAAGACTTAAGGATATGAAAACAAAATGCTGTGATTATGAACTGGTCTTCAGCTGTTTAATTCAATTCATGGTAAACATCATTAAAAGCCTTTGTTTTGCTGTCATAAAAGAGTCAAACGAGGGAGAGAGAGTTCTTGCCATCTGCGCCACCGAATGTGAGTTTTTTTCTGGAGAGAAGCTGATCGCTGTATTAATTCTCGATAGAGTCTGTTAAATGGCCGTAGTTAACCCTGTAAGACTCCACGAGGAGGGGAACGCAGAGGTCACCTACCCATTCCATGCTGCCAGCCGCACTAATTGGAGAGGGATGGCATCCGCAGCGATAATGTATTTCCAGACAACCCTACTGTGGCCAAAGATGAAAAAAATTAAACATTTATACAACTGTACAGTGGCAGTTTAATTCTCTGCGGACTGGCACCGTGTCAGAGAATGCAGGCTGATAGCTATCATTTATTATTCTTCTACTACAAAGGAATGCTTTTTCATTTCGATCAGGAGAGGGTTTCCTGACATGCGTTTGCAGTAAGGGATGACTGTAGGAGCAAAAATGTTCATAATTGATTCCCATCCTGGTGAATGGTCTGAGCAACATCTGTTAATTTTTTGTCACATTTCTTCAGCAAAAAAAACAATCTCGGTGGACTGCAGATAGGGTTTTACAGGGATTACATTTCTGATAAGTCTGCGTGCTGGCTCTGATAACAATGCAAATAAGTTAAAGAGGATGAGTTGAAGGCAGAGCTCATCGGTAGAGTCAGATGGAAATAAATATGGTTCACTCCACTGTAGCATGGACTCCTCATTGCATGTAAAATACACCCCAAAAATCAAGCGTGTTTCCAGAAGGCAACTTCCAAAAGCAACCTCTGTCTGTCTCCCAGTCCTGCAATGGCTGAGGGGATGGGTGCTCCTGGGTCTGGTTTATTTTTGGGAGGAAAGTATCATGCAACGCTGCATTGCCATCCAGCTGCACCTGCAGGCAGGTGTGCTGGGGCCAGCTCTCCTGTCCCTCGAGGCCCAGGCTGTCTTGTGCAGATGAGCAGGGGGGCTGCGAGGTTACTGGGGTGTTGTTGGAGCAATGAGAGGAGCAACACAGCTGGGGAAGTTAGTAGTCAATGTCATAGAAGCTGAAAAAAAGGGTAAAGAGAGTATTTTCTCAGCTGATTTGTCAAGCAGGGACTGCAGAAAATAATCAGGAAAATCAAGATGCTGAGATGATGGTGATGACAGTGGTTCCCACATGATTAAAGCGATGGTTTTGGCATGGTAATTTTTACCCAATTTTGGGACAGAGTGGCAGGGTGGAGAAGAAACATAAGAAGTTCAATGACAAGGGTGTGCAGGACCAATGGCTATTGCCCCAAACACAGAGTCTGTGTCTGAAGGGGCAGCCTGGTGGCTCATGTCCCCATGCTTTGCTTTTGCTTGCTGTCCCTGCCCAAACTGCATCTCATGCAATCCCAGAGAAATGGGGTGGGAGAGTCGTTTTTGTTGGGATTTGCTTGTCAATGGTAGTGATCTCCTGGCTGGGAGCTGGTGAGGTGAACCTTTGGCCAGTCTCTGCTGGTCTTGGACTTCAGCTTATGACACCACGAGTCCTGTGTGAATGGCCAACTCAGACTTTGTCCCACCAATTTGTGAGTCTTTATCTGCTCAGTGGGTAAGCCTGGATCTGCCAAGGCAGTGGTTGGCAGAAATCCTTATAGCTGGGGAGTAGAGAACAATCCCTCTGTGGTGGCTCAGAGTGGTTAGTGTGGACCTGTCTGGCCGGCCTTTGTCTACTGAGATGCTGGATTTCCTACAGAAAGAGGGAGGCTTGGATGGGTCCAAGCTCCTTTGTCTTCTTCAACCAGTGCAAGAGCTGGCACTGGTGGTGGGTACATGGGCGTGGAAGCCCCAGGGAGCTGCTGGTGCTTCGCTACCCTGGTGCCACTCTTGGGTGGGAGTGACACCAGCTGCCAGTCCTGCTGGCAGGAGCCCTTTCTCCTCCTTTGGGAATGACCTAGATTTCCAGAAAAAAGGCAAACCATGGTGTGGAGAGTGTTGAGCTTTAGTGGGTAGCAGCAGGTCATCAGAAATACTGCCTGGAGCTCAGCCACATTGCTTATTTTCGGAGCAGGACTTCTGCCCAGTCTCTCTTTACCTCAGGATCTTAATTATTGATTATAAATTCATCAGATGAAAAGATGGCTTTAATTGCTCTAATATGTACCCAATTTGGAGTTCATTATTGCCCAGAATTGTTTTCCTTCCCTTGCTAATTGATACCAAATGGGATGCAGAGGAAGGCGGGCACTGGTGCCGCTCCACCTTCGGTGATTGCCTCGTTGCCGTTTAATTGTTTGTTTATTTGAGGAGGTGTTAAGCACTGCTAGAAGTTTGTATGCACTCTTTTCCTAACGGCGTCCTCAGCTGAACTTCCAAACGGATTTGTCTGAGAAAGGGGTGCTTTCAATCGGCTGTTGGATCTTGGCAACGTTTTGGGTTGACTGCAGAAGTCTGTTGGAGGATGGGGATAAATCCTGGGGTCCCCCTTCGTGTCTTGGCCTCTTTCACTGCAAGATGGGGTGGATTTTCTCATTTGTCTGGGTGTAACCTTGACTCAAAGTCCAGCACTGGAGGGAACTCTGATTTCCAGCAAGGAGCTGAAGCAAGGAGACCCCACCACTGCTTTTCCTCCCTGGACAGCGGTGGGGGATGCCGGCGTTCGCGGGAGCTTTGCCATCGGGTTTGAAGCTCCTGACACCTGTTCCTCCCAGCAACATCGGGGAGTCTCAGCATGAAATGTTTTCCAACACTGCAGTGTGGTGGTGCTTTTCCTGGGAAATGGCAGTGAGGACCAGATGTTTCACAGGGTAATTGAAAATTCCATTTTATCAGAAAGTGTTTGCTGTCAAAAAGTTTTATCTTTACTTCAACAAAGAGGTTGATTAGATCCCTCAGGACCTGAATTAGCATCTTTGAGGCTAGATACTCTGTTCTGTGATTCAGGTAGTTATTCCTCCCTTGGTTTTCCTCATACTGGGATTTTTTTCTTTAAATCCCTTTGCCCTCTTCCAAACATAGTGTTTGTGCAGGTTTGGCTTGTTTTCTTTGTGTGGATGTATACGAGCACCTAGATCTGCTTAAATGCATTCTATTACCTTTTTCACCTTGCCTTGAGCGAGAGCCATTCTTGTACTCTATAAGTCATAGGAGCTCTTGCCATCATAGAAATCAGAAAGGAAATATTTCAAATATATGTTTTTAATGTTAGAAGCAACAGATTTCAAACTTATCTTAATTCCCAGTGCCAACCAGTATTTTAACCATCAATTGTAGAAAGAAAATCATTGGTCCAATGAGGCAGTGATTCGCTGTTTAAGATAAAAATAGAAACAGAAAATATGAAAATAATAAGCACACACTAATCATAAAAAAGACAGTGTTAGAAATAGTCCCCACAGCCATAAAATAGTGGAAAAGCTTTAAAATCAAAATGAGAGGGTTTTTAAGCAATGTCAGTAATGGATCTCTACAGAGAATTGCTTCTAAAAGCATCACTTCCACTTTTCTGGTGCCAGATCAGCAGTAAAGGTTTGCGTGAAATGTCATCTGAAAAGACCTGATCCTGCATACATTTCCACATCTGCGTAACTTTGCACACAGAGGTGGTTTAATTGTGTCTGAGTCCCATAAACTCCAGCAAGATGAAGAGTTCTTTGAATAGAAATGGGTTATATTTAAATGGTTATGTTAAGTCTTCTTTATACTATCACACAATATAGAAATAAGCTTTGGATGTGAAGTAGAATTGGGCACATGATATTCACTGAAACTTTTCTTGCTGGTTGTATCCCCAATTATTCACATATATCATCATTTAGGGGATCATGTTTTATCTAGAATATTCCAGTTGGTTCTTATGCTCATCTCCATACTATCTGGGTGCATTTCAGTTGTGAATTGAGAACATGACTAATGTTATTAACTGGAGGCAAACACAGGTATTAGAAACTGTTGATTTTTTAAGCTGATTTCCAGCAGTCTTTCCACCTGCATCTCCATTTTACTCTGCAGAAAAGGCTTTCTGTAAAGCTGTATGTACATGAAGACCTAAGTGACATATTCTAGGGCTTTGGAGGCTGCATTTCTCTGGAAGTTTCTACAAATTAATAAAAATACCTACTTTCTTGTATTCATA